GTTGGATGATGTTACACTAGAAATCGTCGTTACATTATAAATTTGTCGGTTCAGCTGCAGTACTTTTGTTTACCACTTTTAGCAGCAGCTTATTTTGCCTACACGCAGGTTGTTCTTGTTGTCTGCGAATTAACGACCTCTCGCCTTTTAGTGTCCGGCTATTGATTATACCCGACATACCTTGGATGGTGCGGCGTGCCTCCTAAATAGCAACAAATATTTCCCTAGCCGGTACGTTTTTCTTTTCTCTTCTTACGCATTTTCTAGGGTTACCATTAAAGAATCGTCAATTGCCAAGTTGGGTTCAGTTTGCAGGCGTGTTTATCGAATCTTCTCACATGCCTACTACCACCATCGAGCGATTTTCGATGAATTTGAAGTAAGAAAGTCTCTTTTGCGCTTTGCTGGCCTCTACATTTACTTTATCTCTGCATACCGAGCCCCACAGAGCAATTTACCGCTTGACGCTAGTGTTTTTAGTGGGCTTCTATATAGCTTGTGTTATCTTCGCGCGACCCTCTCAAATAACATTTTCTTTTATATAATAATTCTATTTTAGGAGAAGACCGCCCTCTGTCATCGTTTCACATCCTTCGTTTTGAAGTACAGTTTGATGAACAAGGAGAATCTTCTCGTCCCTATTGCCGGCTCTACTGTTGAGGATTGTAGTGCAGCAACAGCGGCGCCACCGACCAGCGGTGCCACCGACGTTGAAGTTTGAGTTTTTTATTCTGGTCTTTATTCGTACCATTCTCTACTGTACTCCACAACCTCCCTCGTGTTTTTAGTTTCCTCTGCACTGCATTTCACTTACTAGGTGACCTTTTCGCTATTGTGGGTCGATATAATGCGCAAATGTATCTTCTCTCATTTTCATTCCTCATCCACCGCGTTGATTATATACCGCAAACTAACACTTCACACTTCATCATTTATATTTGGTGCAGCAAATATACGTTCCCCGCTAATTTCCATACCGTCTCCGAGTTCATATCTGGTGTTAAGCTAAATAAGAGCCGCAGAGATTATTTCAATTGTCTATGCCAGTGGTCGCGAACTCACATTACCTCATGACTTTCCAGCGCCGTAGTAGTTAGGCGCTTGAAACCACTTTCACGAAATTAAATCGACTATCTTAGATATAATGCGATTGACACAAAAGAGATACATACAGTCAGGACTCGCGCGCCGATGTCTACTTACATTGTGTCATCTCACACCTCACCTCACGTGTTTCAAGGCGACCTGGTGTGGGCACAACAGCCCGCATGGGTGTGCTGCATACTACCTCGCCCCATTAACCAGACGCGCAGCAGCTTGAACCCTGCGTTAGTGACGCTGTCATAAAGGCGACTCCAAAGATAAATGGCCAGTCTATCTGCGTTACTGAGTAGAGCTCCGTTACCCTATTTTTTGCAACTCTACAAACCATGGCTGTTGGCATTTCGCGATATTCTCAAAGAGTACCGGAATGTTTATAACAATGAATCAAGTGTTTGGTCTTCCTTACTTTCCCATGTCCCAGCGGGCTGTTTGAGCCCACTAATGGTAATATGGACTTAGTGGTGGGCAGGGGGATGGCGTTTCTGTTTAGCGCAGGCAACATTAGTTTATTAATACAAAATTGATAGGCGCCAGAAGGAAACAGTTGCGGTTCGGCCTCTTCACAATGACTGCCGACTTATTCCGTCCGCCGGAAGCCTCTAAATCCACGACCTTTAGGCCATCGCGGTAGGTTTAGGCGCATCAGGCTTATTATTAAGAATGTTGTCGATTCGCCAAGAAGCACGGTACCCGAGCGTAAGCTTCGCCCATGCCCCAGTTGCCTGTGGAATTTTAAGGTGATCGGTGGAGACTGGACCCAATGTATTCGTCTTAGGTGGACCACGCGTACGCCTGACAGCACAATGTGGTCTTACTGATGCAATACTGGGGAGATGTGACAGATCGACAAGGACAGCGTTAACCGTCTACAAAACGAAACCATACCAGAAAATTCCCGTCCTTTAACATGATCGGTCCGCCACGTGCGCGTAAAATACGTGTCACGACTGCTTCCCTAAAACTCAATCTACAGTCTTACGAGGGTGAGTATGCGGGTCAAATTCTGGCAGAGAATCCAGCGCCCTAAACATGTGTTTTCGAAATAAAGAGCCCGGTCAGCGAAGTTCGTTCTTAGTATTGGCCCAGCTTTGCCATGGGTAATGGTCGCATTAGGGGAGAGGTTGGATTGATTCTGTCCGAGTGCACGTCTTTTTTTAGCACACCACAGTCTGAGAAGCGGTCGTCTACTTTGATGATACCAATTTGAGCACATAGACCCCTGAAATTGACTACCTCGTGTTGTTGCATCCGCAAGTGCAGCCTTTTGGAGACTATGCGAGCATGCAACAGTCCCGCGTTAACAGGGCAGACGGAGGCACCCGATGAGTCTGACTCCCAGATTTGTGCTAGCGAAGGCTCGCTGAGGCCTGTCAGCCTAAGAGGCGGACTAGGGCCTTGTCCGAAGATTTGTAACGCTAGCACATCTACCCCGGCCAGCCCCAACTCTTCGAGATTTGAAGAGCATCACTGGCTACGTGCTCTGCCTGGCCTCCGGCCCAT